TGTTCCATCTCATTTCCCTTTGGGGTTGGTGTAGGTGATCTGGAAGTCTGGTTTTGAGACTTATTTATGTGTTTTCTCATTTCAGCTGGGGGGGCAGGGGGGGTGCTGTTGGCACTCGCTCGGCTCACCTCCTCTGAGCTGGGAGAGGTGGGACAGGGGATGGGAGCGGCGGTAGGGATGGTGGCCAGGAAGCCCCTTCCTCTGGGCCGGGAGCAGCCTGATTATATTAATTGGAGTACATCCTGGCTGACTGATAAATTCATGTTTCAATTCCAGTTTAAGCTGATATTTTTATTTAGTTGGTATGCAAAAAAATTTCTTGTGGGGCCAGGGATTTAGCTCAGTGATTCTGCTGCCTGCCCACAACAGCAAGGACCTGAGTTCGATCCCTGGCACCAAAAAAAAAAAATTCTTGTGGACAGCTTTGGGATAATTCTTAAACTGTAGTTGCAAGGTTCACTTGCTCTTTTGTTGCTTTCTGCTTGTACTAAGATAATTTGGCTATTCAAGATTACTGCAAAGTCTATTATTCAGCAAGCCCTAATTGGAATGTAAGTATCTGTGAGTAAACTCTGAGACTGAAGGTAAAATATGCTATCAAAAACATTTTAAAATTTAAGTAGCCATTGGCTTGTGATGAAAGAAAACAAAATAGGCCAGGAAAGAAGATATAAAAATGTTTGGGTATGAGGATATATTTTTGGCAAGGAAAGATTTTTATATAGTAAAATAAGATTTTCTTGGAGTAAAATAACTAGATATTTCCAAAGGAGAAAAGGAAAGATAAAGATAAGTCAAAAGTTTTCATTAAGTATAAACAATTGAGGACAATGAGGTTTATTAAAAAATCATGTGTGGCTCTCCTGTTTGCTTTGCTCTTGTTGATTTTGGTAAGTCTAAGGGATACTCTTTTTTAAAACCTCCATAGGGCCGGAGATTTAGCCCAGTGGCGCTGTGCCTGCCTCGCAAGTGCAAGGTCCTGAGTTTGATCCCTGGTACCAAAACAAAACAAAACAAAACACATTATATGAGGGGTGAACCATTCTCTCTGGTGGGAACATACTGTTTCTAGCTCCTCCTGCAAATAACATACTAGTGGTGGTCATCTTGTTACAAATCACAATGGGAGGGTTCTGCCCTAGAGTACGGCAAGACACAGCTGGACAAAATGGGAGCTAGGAAAGCTACCTGCCCCATGAAAGGCAGTTAATACCAGACAGTATAAACTACCAAACAGATATAAAAATCACTTGCCATTCTCACTGTGCTTTTGACAGCCCAGTATGGCTGGTAAAGAAACCAGATGGCGGGGCCGGGGATTTAGCTCAGTGGTTTTGTCGCCTGCTGCGCAAGCGCAAGGACCTGAGTTCAATCTCCGGCACCAAAAAAAAAAAAAAAAAGAAAGAAACCAGATGGCTCATGGAGAATGACTATAGAGTTAAATGGGGTGGTGGGCCTCCATGCTGCTGTGCCCAGTGCTGCTCCCTTGTTCGAATAAAGGATGTAGCCTGTTGAATTCTGTCATTCTGTTTTGGATCTTGCTAATGCTTTCTTCAGTATTCCCCTAGCACTGAGTCCCAGCACTAGTTTATACTCACGTGGAATGGACAGTAATGAACCTTTGGAGTGCTGCCTTGGGGCTATTTACACACCCCCACCATGTGCCCTGGGATAGAGTGGGACCCAGGCCTGTTATCCTGCCCATCCTGCCGCACACACTATAAAAAGTATTTCATTATGTGGATGATGCTGTTCTGGCCTTGAGTGTTTTATAGATTTTTTTTTTTAAACCTCTGGAAGGGCCAGGGATTTACTTCAGTGGTTCTGGTGCCTGCCTTGCAAGTGCAAGGTCCCAAGTTCGAGCCCTGGTACCAAAAAAAACCTCTGGAAGATATAAAAGGACAGGACACCTGCAGGACAGGAGTGAGGAGACTAATCTCTTAGTCTCTGCCTTACCACTCCCTCTCCCTGCAACTGGCAAAAGAGTGAGCAGCCACTGTGACCTCCTCCCTGATGTACTATCCCAAATCGACTCCCTCATGGCTGCTGTGCTGCAAAACGAAAGATTAGGCATGCTTGGGGCCATGGAAGGAGGCATCTGCCTCTTGCTCCACGGCAAATGTTGTTTCTGCGTAAACAGGTCTGATCAGGCACAATGTGACTTACGGAGCCTTACAGACCAGGCCTATCAACTGAAAGAAAAAGCTGTACTGGATGGAATCATGGAGCTCAATTTGGAAACATGTCTTGGATAGCCCCTTTCATGAGGCCCCAGGTGGGCCTTATACTACTTCTCATTTTTGGTCCATGTTTGTTTAACTTCTTTGTTAAATTTGTGCCTTCCAAAACTGAGACCAAAAAAAAATGGGACTTTCTCAAGGATACTGAGCTGTCAATAGCCCCCAAATCTCACTCATCCTCACAGGGTCTCTACACCGGCCCACTGGAGAGGGATGATAAAGACCTGACAATCAACAAGAGGAAGAAGCCTGAGCTGATTTATAGTTACATGTTCAATTTCTCCATCTTCAGATGGTGCTATTCCCAAAGATTCTCCTTTATATAAACTTGCGGTCCTGTGACGGACTCTCCAGGCCCGAAAGTCAAAAGCAGGGACCTTAACTCCTCCTTATTGCCCTCCCAGCAGGCAGTAGACAGAATGATGCAGTGTCCCAGTGCCCTAAGTGATTTTAGGATCTGAACTCTTGAGGGGGGAATGTTAGGCAGGAATTGGACATTAGCAGATTACATGAGAGGACTACATGAAAAACAAAGAAGATACGATTTTTTTCCCCTTTGTTTTCTTTTTTTTTTGACACCGGGGATCGAACTCAGGTCCTTGTGCTTGCGCAGCAGGTGGCGAAACCACTGAGCCAAATCCCTGGCCCCTGTTTTCTTAATTATTAGTGATAGATAATTCAAATAAGCTTATGGTTTCAAGCTATGGCCCAAAAGAAACTCCTCTCCTCTGAGCGTGCTGATAAGGTCCAGGGCCTGGACCAAGTCCAGATCTTGGGCAAGGTCTCAAAATGATAAATGGAAACATTGCATCTACACAGCTTTTTTGTTCTTTAAAGTTAATCAAAATAACCTCATTTGTCCTTGTAACAGAACAATGATTTTGGAGGGAGGGAATAATGTTCCCTGCAGGTCCACTGAATCATATAAATGTAGTCTGAGCCTTAATTTGGAGCAACTGCCATCTTGGCACTTGCTTGGCCTATCCCATAAGGATGTACTTCTGGCTCGCACTTTCTTTTTGTAATAAGTGCTGCCTTTGCTTCTTCAAACCTTTTTTGTGTCTTGGCTTACTACTTTCATCAAGAACCCAAGGACTGAGCCAGATGTGGTGGCACATGCCTATAATCCCTGCACTCTGGGAGGCTGCCTGCCCAGGTAATTTAGCAATTTAGGGAAACCTAATCTCAAAATAATAAATAGAAAGGGATTTAGAATATATCTCAGTACAAAGGCCCTGGATTCAATCCCCAGTACTACAAACAAACAACAAGGGACTGAGGCCCCACCTGCCTGCACTGTGAGGTATCATTGCTTTAGCACATCCCCTGCCTCCCACAAGTCCCACCACTTCAGCCTGGGAGGAGAAACACTGTTTGATATATATGGAGTTTTATGCAGAGCCCCCAGACTCTCCCGCACCAAAAGATGAGCTGTCCTGAAGGCCCTCCCCATCCACTGACAGCTGGCTCGGGCCCTGGGCTGGGTGACGTTTCAGCCTGTGGGTCAGTCTGTGCGTGTGAAGGAGGTGAGAGAGGGTTTATAACACAGAATCTCAAGCGTGTCCCAAGGATACAACAGTGTAAAAATTATTCACTTGGTACTGAGGTTCTATGGTAAATTATCATTTTTTAATCTTGTAATTCTTTTAAATAAAATCTATATCAGAGTGTCATTTTGATGTTTGCAAAGCAAATTACGATAGTTTTGAAAAGATTGTTAATTGGTGACTCCATTAATTTTGCTAAGTTCCTCAGTTTTAGTGAACTGTTTGTTAGCCAAACAGAACGAAATGTAACAATGAAACACCTATCTCATTAGTATTGTATAACCACTAAATAAAATAATATAAATGGCTACATTTGAGAAAAATAGGCATAGTTCTTATTAATAGGGATGGAAATCAGGAAACCAGGTGCTTTGTATATTATTAACCCTTTGCCTCAATTGTATTTTTTAAAATAAAAAAAAGAAAAACATAAGCTTTGTTGAAAGAAGTTGCCACTAAGAATAACAACACATGAAAGAAAAGCCGAAGGGTAAAATGGAGGCTGAGATACCTGAGCAAGTTTAGTTTTGTCTTGTTGCAAAACCTCAGGTCGGAATTCAGAATCAGAAGTCAGGAAGCAGTGATTTCCATGCTCATACTGCTTTGTAGGGTTGTCTCTTTGGGAGTCTGCTGTACTAAGGAAAAGAATTTCAGGTTTTTATTTGATAATGACATTGGTATTTCTAACTTCTCTTTCCTGCCCAATTCTAGAGATTTGAAGTTTTCAGAATGTTTAACTCTTCTGATAGTTTAGTCATATAAAATATCATGATGGCACTGCATCAGAATTTATAAACTATTTAAAAGAGGCCATGCAAAATAGGAATAAAGGACATAAATAATTTTAATAGGTTGACCGATATCACATACACTTAAGCCATGAAACTCAGTAGATTGTTTAGTGCACTGGAAAAGCTATTGCTAAGTTGGAGGGTTTATTCATCAGAGAGCAAAGTTGGAGGCTTTTTGTTTGTTTGTTTGTTTTGAGACAGTCTCTCTATGTAGTCTCCAGGCTGGCCTCAAACTCCTGGCAATCCTTCTGCCTCAGCCTCCCAAATGGTGGGATAATGTGCTCCACCACATTCAGTACAAAGTTGGAGACATTTTGAAAAGAGCTGAGGAATGATATACCAGGTAAGTCAGAAATTCTCAGTAAAAGCTTCAGATTAAAGATGTCTTTAGTTCCAAAGAAGGTAAGTTTCAAAGACTTTTGTTTGTTTTTTAATAGCTTTATAGAGATTTAATTGATATATAACAATTAAAGTATACAACTCAGTAATTTTTTTTTTGTACCGGGGATAGAACCCAGGACCTTGCACTTTCGAGGCAGGTGGCAGCGCTGCTGAGCTAAATCCTGGCCCTCGGTAGGTTTTTGTATAGGTGTGCACCCACTGAACACATTGCAACAGTCAAAAAATGAACATGTCTCTTGCTTTCAACTTTCCTTGTGTCCTTCTGTACCTTCTCACACCGCCTCTGCCTACTTCCTCATCCAAGGGCAGCTGCTGCTCTGCTTTCTGCCAAGGTTGTGTTTACTAATCATTTATAATTGAAGTCATGAAGTGTGTGCTCTTTTTGGTTCCTTTCACTCATCACAGTTATTGAGGTTGACCCATATCATTGCATGTATCAGTAACTCATGCCTTTTTGTTTAAACTAATGAATACTACTCTCCATGCCACAATCTCTATACATTTACCTGTTGATGGGCATTTGTGTTGCTTCCTGTTTGGAACTGTTACAAATTAAGGTACAGCAAACATTGAAATGCAAGTGTTTGTATGGATATTTGTCTTCATTTTCTCAGGTATGTACCAAGTTGTGGAATGAATGGATCATTTGGTAGCTTTTGTTTAACTTTTTAGGATACTGCCAAATTATTTCCTCTCAGCAATGTGGAAGTATTTGAGCTCCAGTTGCTATACATCCTTAGCAACACAGTGTCTGCTATATCTCCTCAATTGCACATCTTGTAATTGCACATCCTTAGTGACACATCCTAAATAACATATTGTATGGTTGCAATTATAGACCTTCTAATGAATGTGTAGTAATATCTCACTATAGCTTTAATTTACATTTCTTTAATGCTACACAGTATATTGAACATCATTTGATGTGCCTTTGCCATCTGTGTTTCTTTAGTGAAATGACTTCAATTATAATTTTTTAGTTTAGCCGTATTTTTTCTTACTGAGTTTTGAATATTCTTTGTAAATTCTGGATATAACTTATCAGCTATGTAATTGCAAGTATTTTCTTCCTGTCCGTGCCTTACCTATTAACAGTGTCTCCTAAGGAGTAGAAATAACTGATCACTTTTTCATTTATGTACCATGCTAAAAGAAAGTTTAAGAAATCACACTTTTGAAAGTGAAGCCATAGCTAGGTGTGGTGGAGCATGTCTGTAATCCCAGTACTCAGGAGGCTGAGGCAGGAGGATTGCTGTGAGTTTGAGGCCAGCCTGGGCTACATAGTGTGTTCAAGACCACACTGAATTACAAAGCAAGACTCTGTCTCAAAATAAAACAAAACACAAGGCAGAAAGTGAAGCTATAGATCTTAAGGCAAGATTTAAAAATTCATAGACATAGAACCTTTCAGGAACTCACAAGTATAATAATTAGAGACAGATTCTCAGTGACCTTTAGAAAAGCCGGTGAGCCGTTCTTACCACTCTGATGTTTTGCAATGCAGAGGAGGTAATACATTCCCAGGGATGCTTGCTGTGTGACTGAGGCATCAGCATGGGAACACAGAAGAGACAGCTCTGCTGCCAGGACACCTAAACATGGAGCATCAATACTTGTCTACAAAAAAAATTTTAAAAATTTGTCTATAGAAACAAAGGAGAAAATTCATTTGTTATACACAGTCCACATTAAATGTCGGCATCTGATCCCCTAATTATCAGAACAGGATTACAGGAGAAACCTCAGAGTTTTCAAGTCGGTATTCAAATACTAGTGCTGTTAGTGAAACTCAATTTTCTCATCTGTGAAATGAAGGCAAACAAATGCCTCCACATAGCAGTTACTAAGGGGACAAGGGGGTAACATTTATGACAGAGAGTTCCCAGCAAAGCACTGAAAACAGTAGTAATCAACTAATGTTACCTTCTATGTCATAAAGCGGGTAGCAATATTTTAGGTACAAATTCCTAGAAGATGGCATGTGAATTTCCAAAACGATGTTTTTTTTCCCATACACATGTAGTTTTATTGTAACAAAGCAACTTGTACACTTTGAATGTTTAAAACTATGGATCACCTTTTCCTTTCCAGTGAAAACAAAAAAGAATTTAAAAATAAACCAACAAAATTACAATAGAGAACGTCAATTCCAAATAAGTCCCCACAGGTTCTGCTGATTCTCCCATCAAGTGGCAGGGCTCAAGTCATCATTAGGAGTGAATTTTATTTTAAAAGTGTCATTTTAAACTTCAAGGGTGTCTGTTAACATCACAATTAAACATGCCAAAGGAGAAGCCATGCTGTCAAATGCCCACTTAACCCACCCAAACATCTCAAATCCACCCTTTGCTGACCTTCTACACCCCATTTTTTAAAGTTTTTTTCTCTTTTTTTAAACAAGAGAAAGTAGACAGGTCCATGTTGGTAAATGCTGACTGTCCATATTCACATAGAGACACAGTGTAATCTCAGAGCCCAATATACAGAGAAAGGAGGAAAAGAGCTAGAATTCTATGCACTACTGCACAGGGGCCAAGCACCCTCCAGCTTCCGGCAGAGCAAAGGCAGCAGAAGGGTTTCCTTTTTTTCCACAGAGCACTGTGGAGTTGATTCCACACAGTTTGTGTGAGACAGGGGGGTATCAAAATGAATTTAGAATAGAAGGCTGCGGAGATTCTTTTCCTGTTGTATTCTGCTCAAGGTATCACCCCACAAAATAAGTCAAGAACCATGGTGTTTGAGAAAAGACTTCAAGATCAGGTTGACTGAGCACAAGGTGTGTGTGGGGGACCTGCAACTTGCTCCTGGGGACTGGAGAAAATTAAAAAAAAAAGAAAAGAAAAAGATAAAAGAAGGTTGGAATCCATCAGTGTTCAATTAATCATCTTCTCCTTCATCTTCCTCTCCTTCCTCCCCTTCATCAACATCATCATCATCTTCTTCACCTTCATCCTCATCCCCTTCTTCATCAATGTCTTCCAATTCTTCTCCTTCTTCTTCCTCTTCCTCTTCCTCCTCCTCCTCCTCCTCCTCCTCATCATCATCATGTTCTCCTTCCCCTTCCTCATCATCCACATCAGGAACCAAGTAGTACTGCAATGGATTTGGCCAAATATCATCTGTGATGACCTCTCGTAACTCATCTGCACCTACATCAGAATGGTCGGTAAACCAGGTAAAGAAGCTCTCGGGTGCTTCATGCTGCCTCTTCCTACTGGCTTTATTCTGCGTTTGACTTGAATGTTTCGTCAAATCCTTTCCAGATTTCCATTTGATTTCAGTGAACTTTGAAGATGGATCGCCACTCTCGTTCAGATCCAATTCTTTGGAGAGAACTTTATTTTCGAAGAAAGGATTTTCATAAAAATAAATATCTATTCTGTAACCTGATTTTATATCTTCAAATTCTGTCACTTCGACTCTGGTCAAATAATGCAGTGTCTCTTTGTCTTCCTTCCCTCGTCTTCCTCCCCACCTGTGGATGGTTAACAAATGCTGTTACCCAAAAATTTGAGATTTTGGAGATCAATTCTGACCTCTTCTGAAAAAATGGTTGGCGGAGTTTGTTATATTTCTGTTCTATTTTCAATATCTCCTCACTGGCTTGTTCATTAAGTCTATTTCATTTTGTACTTCATCAATATGTTCAATTGCTTCTTGTTCTTTTTCTGAGGTCTCATAGGCCCCGTCGTGGTTGGAGTTGAGCTCCTCTTTACTGACTTTGAGTGCCGGCGCCGACAGGGTGCTGCTCCGCGGTTGGGGGAGCGGGGAGGGGGAGAGGAGGGAAGGCGAAGGAGGCGGGCGGGCGGCTTCCCTCAGGCCACACGCGCGGGCGCCCGCTCGGCCCGGCCGCCTCCTACCGGCGCTCGCCCTCCCCTTCGCTCTCTCGCTCGCGGCCTGACGACCTGGGAGGGACGAGGGGGCGGCGGGCGGGCGGCCGGCGGGCGGGCCCGTCCCGGGCTCAGGCTAGCAGAGGGGAGACGGCGGGCGGCTCAGCTCTCTCACTCGAGCTCCGCGCTCCGGCTCGCTGCTCGCTCTCTCCCAGCCGCCGCCTCCTCCACCTCCTCTTCACGGCCCAAAACAATGTTTTTTGAGTCAGGGTCTCGCTATGTAGTTCAGGCTGGCCTTCAACTCACTATGTAGCCCAGGCTGGCCTTGAACTCACGGCAATCTTCCTGCCTCAGTCTCTCAAGCGCTGGAATTGGGCCTGGGATTTAGATTAGTTGTTCTGGAGCCTTTCTTGTAAGTGAAAGGTCCTGAGTTCGATCCCTGTACGAGAGAGAGAGAGAGAGAGAGAGAGAGAGAGAGAGAGAGAGAGAGAGAGAGAGAGAGAGAGAGAGAGAGAGAGAGAGAGAGCGAGAGAGAGAGAGCGAGAGAGAGAGCGAGAGAGCGAGAGCGAGAGAGAGCGAGCGAGAGAGAGCGAGAGAGAGCGAGAGAGCGAG